GAAGGCTGAGTCCTCCTATTCCTGTTATTCCTAGAAGAGGCATTATTCCTGGACTTCCATTGTCTGCAGTCCCTTTTCATGTGTCCCATTTTGCCACAATGAAAGCATTTTGTAATCTGATGTCTCCTTTTACCTTTGGAAATTGCTTCTTGTACCCATGTTTCATTGCCATAATCAAATGTATCAACATTCATTGTATGTAAAACCCATTCGTCCAAAGGCGCTGATCTGAGCTTTAAAGGCCCCAGGATCCTTTTGCATTCTACATTGGCATTCTCATAAGCCAAAGACTCAATTACTATATTTCTTGCTTCTGGATCAGGTATCCCTATTTGTACAGCCTTAGTTAGTCGTTGCAAAAAATCACTAAAGGGTTCTCTCTGACCCTGTTTGACCCTGACATACGATTCTACTCTCTGACCTGAGTCTTGAACCCTGTCCCAGGCCCTTAGAGCTGCTGTAGCACATATGGATAAAATGTTTTCATCATAAAGAGCTTGTTCCTGAGGATCAGAGTAAGGTCCTTCCCCTAGAATTTGATCTAGAGAAACCTCAATTCCTTTCGCTGATTCTTGTTGTTGTAAAAGTCTGGCCTCTTGTTTGAATAGGCATTTGAAATGCCATAAAGGTCCGTTCTCAAGGACAGCTGATGTGAGCTGGTTCCAATCTTTAGGGGTGGCCCTGTTGCTCAGAGCCCAGGATTTTAACATCTCCCTAACAAAGGATGAATGTAGTCCATAATTCACAATTGCTTGTTTAAATTCTTTCAGATAATTCATACGTATAGGCTCCCATGTATGTTCTTTAACGACCTTAGGGTTTTTGGAGCCAGTTATCTTTTCTGATGTTATTACTGGAAAGGCAGGTATAACTCTATGTAGACTGAGAGTTTTTTGAGGTGAAGGTTGCCTTTCTACCTTTTGCTCCTGTTCATCAGAGTCTATGATTTCCTCAATCTTATTAAATCTGCTCACCATTGCCTTCTGTAAGTCCTGAATCTCCTGTCCAGTATTATGCTCCAAAGCCTTCATTAACGATTCTAAGGCATGGAGCTTGTCCGTCAGAGACACGATATCCTCCTTGGACATAATCCTCATGGCATGTACTGTGCCTTCTTGTATGGAAATCCTGTCAATTAATCTATCATACCCTTTTGATAAAGTCCGATTTTCACATTCAATGGTTATAATCCTCTCAGCTAATGTTTCAGCACTTACAGTCATGGACTGGAGGTTATGTGTCATTTTGGTTGTCCCCTCCTCCAGGGCAGTGACGCTCCCTTCTAAAGAAGCAATATCAGACTGTACCTTCTTGATATTTTGGCCAGTTGACCGAGTCATATCAAACAAAGATCTATTCTCCTCCTTGAGAACTCCAAACTCTGATCTAGTCTCCTGCTTGAAAACTCCAAACTCTGATCTAGTTTCCTCCTTGAAATCTCCAAACTCTTTTTTGAGGAGGTTGGTATCAGTCTGAATTGTTCTTAAGGTTTTAATCTCTGCCCTCAGCATTGTAGATTCAGTCTGTAAGGACTGTATCTTTCTTATAAAATAGCCAAACACCAGAAAAGCAACAGATCCCAGGAATAACAAAGTAAGAGGAATATCTGAGACATCCTTCAGAATATCCTCCATAGCGCAACTGAAAAAACCATTGAACTTTTGGATAGTAATATTTTCCGACATTTTCAATCAAAGGAAATTGTACTTGTATGTATGTATGTATGTATTTATTTTCAACCGAAAAGAAAAATCTTACCTGTAATGACCGTTGCCTGCCAGTAGGAGGTGGGGCGCACCTGAATCCACGTGGCAGTGGTATTGATTGAGGAAGTAAACTCTAGAATATATACACTCAAATCCAGAGGTTAAATCCACAGATCACAAAAGGTCAGAGAGCTTCTAGTGGCCAATAAACAAGGCAATAAACAAGGCCCTGCTGCTCTGTTCAACCGGATGCAGAGGGTCGTGACACAGCCACTGCGCTGTTGCTAAAGAGGCCTAGTGCTTTGGGCCCCGTGTCCCTGTGCTGGGATTAAGGGTCAAGCTGCTTTCAGCACTCCTAATCAGTTATGGGTTTCCAACAGCTTGCTGGAACTTCAAAGGGAGCTTGCGCTGTGAGCTCTTTGACTCACGTTGCAAGGAGAAATTTAAAAATCCGTGCCGAACAGGGCAAAGTAAGCCAGCAAAGACTGTCCGGACCTGTGTATCCTGGGAGGCCGAGCTGGGGGTGGAGGGGTGGGGCGGTTCTTAAACCAAACGCTGGGCGCCAATTATTAACGAATCAATCCCACACCAGTTATGTTTTAAGGGGTTATTAATTTGGCGGGGGGTAAAACTTACATACACCATAAACCGTCAGGAAGGGAGCCTAGTCGCTGGAGCAGGAGCCGGGAGCAGCAGCCGAGACCGAGCACCGGAACCAAGAGCCGGAACCAAGAGCCAGAACCAAGAGGGCCTATTCCGGATATGCTTCTCTTTTTAAAAGAGAAATATACCACGCTCCAGTGGGCTGGTATTTCAGCAGCTATTGGCTGACGGAGCGGAAGTCGCTCCCCGCTGCACTGTGGGCTCGTATTTCAGCGACTATTGATTGAGGCAGCGGAAGTTACTCCCACAACACTACTGTATTTGGAAAGTTTGTTGACTGATAGTTTTCTTTGTTCTGTTGCTTATAAAACATATAGGTTGTTGCCACATTGAAAAATGGGATTTGAGAGCAAGTGAAAAATATAGTTCAGGCCCATTTCTGACAGTAAAGGTATCCCCACTTCTGCTCTCTAGCTTGGAAACTAGACGCATGGTCACTCCACGTGTTGGAATCTTGCCTTTTCTGAGGACATTCCTGAGCCTTATTAAAGACCAGGTTAACCTCCAAGTCTACTTCTTTAAGATATAAATCCACCTTATTCTGGCAAAATTCAATCCTTTGAAAGTACAGACCTGAGATTATTGATAGCACAAAATAGAAAATCAAAGCAACGTTTAACTCACAATTGATAGAGCTAAACAAAAGCTCTAAAACCTTGTCTTTAAGGTTTGTCTTTATGTAAGAGCTGTGATTATTTCATATCATGTTGGCTTGTAGGTGGTCGCTTACATAAATTGAGTTGTTAAGTTAACCTACATTCATTTATGACTGTAGGAAAACTAGAATTTTAAAGGAACAATGAAACAAAGCAAATGCTCCAACAGCAGTTAGACTTGGCGACCTGTCCAAGAATGAGTAGAGGGCTAGAGTAATAGTGAGGGACAGGAAGGAGTTTTTCAATCCATATTTCTACATTGGGGGAGTAAATAGGGGAAACTGAGAGGCATTGGAGAGGTAAGAATAGATCTGGGAAGAGTTGGGGGCAGCAGCAGAGCAATGTGATCAAAATACATTGCATGCATGCCTAAAATTGTTCCAGAATTGGTACAAATGTCACAATATGAAAGGATCCATTGAGTAAGAAAATGAGATATAAAGGCTAGTGCCAGGCCTCCTTAGCCTTATTCCCCAGGGAAAGGTGAGTGCCCTATCTGCCCATTTTGCAGCCCCACAACACAGGACAATCAGATGCGATAGGGAGTTGAGTCAAAGCAGGAACTCAGTTTATTACTGTGAGTGTCAGCTTATATAGGTTAAGTGACATTGTGTGGTATGGGGGGGGTACCTCCATCCAATGACATACAGCCAAGCCCTCCCTCTGGCTGCAGGGGTGTCTACCTAGATTTTGCTGTCTCACCCCACTCAATAGCTTTGAGACTATCCTTCAAACTCAAGCCAGGCTCTTTTCTGTTCTACAGTCTCAAAGTATAGGCCCTGAGATAATTTTGGCCCAACAGGTTAGAAATATGAATGTAATTTTGGTAAAGAAGGTTAGAGGAAAAGGAAATGCATTTAGATGAAAAAGAATTTCATACTCTAAATTTTAAAATTTTTGTTCAAAATATAAAGAGATGAGGACAAATTAAAAGATTAAAATATATTGTAAGAGGTTGTGGGCATTAAAACTTAAAGAAAGATGTTACAGGCATAACTAAACTGATAGAAATAAAAATGATTAAAATTACAAGGGTCAACATTTAATACCCTGAGATAAAATTGATATCCAAATCTTAGTCTCTAGTAAGGAACCTTTTAACAGTTATTCTGGTCTTAATAGTGCTTACTAAAAATATTGCTTGCAAAAATGAACCAGGGGCACTGAACCCCAACTGGAAGTTCAAATGCTTCGAGGAACAATCTTTGTTCGAGGGGTCTGTCAACAGCCCTGCAGACCAGGAAACCTAAAACCAGACTTAACCTTCTGCACACAGTCTAAATCCACATGAGGTACTTCAATAAGCCACTGAAAGGGGGAAGGAAACTGGTACCAGTGTAACACAGGTCATGGCTTATGGTTTTGAGTCAATATTACCAGGTTTGAGCTCATTCATTTACCAGTTACACAGTGGTAGTGGTGTCTCACATTATTTATTTATTATCTGGCTAATTAGTTATTTCAGGGGTGGTGGTGGTTTGAGACAGTGTCTCTCTATATAGTATTGGCTGTCCTGGCACTAACTATGTAGAACAGGCTGACGTGGAGCTCACAGAGAACCACCTGCTTCTGCCTCTCCAGCAAGGGGAGCAAAGCTCCTGTTAATTTAATCAGAACCTTTGCACCAGAGAGAGAGAGCACGGTCCTTCATCTCTTACTCTCTGCATGTCATCATCTCTCTGCATGCTCAGGTCTGAGTAAGCCAGTCTTTCTCGGGGAACTTTGACCATTCTACACACAGAGCACCACGCATGACCTCTGTGGTTGTATCAGTGAGTAAATGAACCGAATCATTCCATTTATTTCCGTGCTAGGCAGGTTAACCCTATGTTGTATCTGTACCATGTGGTTAGAGTGAGTTTTGCAATTTGCACAATATTAATAGTATCCCAACACAATTTCAAAATTACTTTGTGTAGAAATGAGAAAAAGGAAGAAATATGAGGAAGAAAGATATTTCCTCTTTTGACTTGTATCTGTTCTTGTCTGAGACAACAGACAGTTTGTGACTCTTGGGCACATATTTGAGAGATTGGCACAGTGGGCTTTTAAAAAGAAATCCTGGCGTGTGAGGTTAGCTTCAGTTTACACAGAGAAAATTAAAATTTCAGATAGACTCATTCAGCCTTTAGTTCTCTCTCTCACCTTTTCCAAAGGACAATTTTTGGAGCTTTCTTAGAATATTCATCCATGTCTGAAGAAATTGTTTATGCAAATCTCAAATTCCAGGACTCTGATAAGAAAGAAAATCTGCAGACATCTGACAAATGCGATGAAAAAGGTAAGATTTTGAGCCAAGACTGTGGCAATGGCTACAGTCCCACACTTCAAATCCTGCAATAATTCAGCGTGCATTTCTAATTAAGTTTTTTATTTAAACCAAAGTATCAAAGTGATTATAAAGATATTTTCCCTTATGGCATAAATTATTGCAACAAAACACTATATTTTATATTGAATTTTTTTAAAATACTAAACTCAGTACAAGGAAGTGACAGGGTAGTATTTTCAAATGCTGGTGTTTTTTATTTGCTTGCTTGTTTTTGAGGCGGGGTTGTCTATGTAGAAATGCTGGTGTTCTAGTATGAAGATTTTCTATTTTGTTTTATTTTGTTTTGTGTTCATTCTATGAAGCCATGGAACTATGATTATACATTATGCAGGAAAGTCATGAACTTACATGTTATTCTTTTTATAGTTTTGAAAAGTAAAATGCTTGCAGAAAAGGATAAGGAGAAATAAGGAGAGAACACTTGTGTGTGTGTGTGTGTGTGTGTGCGCGCGCGCGCGCATGCGCGCGCAAGTGCATGTGTGTGCATTTATATATGTGTGTATCCAGAGACAATATTTTTTTATCTGACTTCTTTCCTCATTGTTCATGGAGCTTGCTCTATTCAAAGTCTTTTGGCTCTTCCTTGTTTTATCCTAGCATTTGCATCTCTATTTTTTGTTTTAAATTTAGATTACCACCAGGGATTGAGCTTAAGTTGTCAGGTTTGTACAGCCAGTGCCTTTAGCCCCTGAGCTATCTCATAACTTCTTTCACGGCTATACTCCCCTACTGTTTTCACAATGTAAACCAGTCTCTTTTAAAATTACTTTCCTTGCTAGCATTGAAGGAGTAATTCTCTAATCTCGACTACTAAAGAGGTTGAGGCAGGTGGGCTATAAATTCAAGACCTGCCTGAGCTGCAGTGTGAGTTCAAAGTCAGCTCAGGCAGTTAGTTTAGTGAGATCCTGTCTTAAAATAAGAAGTAAAACGAGAATGAGGAGAGAGCTTTGTGCTAGAGGACTTGCTTAGCATGTGTGGGGTTCTACTTTCAATACAACATAACACAACATGACACACTCAACACCACCCTCATATCACACCAAAACCTAAGTGAAATTTCTTCACACCAGGCATTCTCCAGGACACAACCTTCTGATTTTCACTTTTCCTGTGGTTTAGCTGTTCTGCTTGTCCTGACCTCTTCCTTGTGCTCTTCGATGGCTCACATCTGGTCACTTTCCAGGTTGGTCTCCTTCTCCTGTGTCACAATAAACATTTCTAAGTCGTCTCATGCCTTTCAGCTTCCAGTACCATGACTTCCAAGTGTCTGCTCATGACCTTTCCCCTTCCAGTACCATGACTTCCAAGTGTCTGCTCATGACCTTTTCCCAGCCCTCAGCACCTGTCCTGCTCCTCCACAGGCAGGCTTGGCTTGGCTTTGAATTCTTGGTGAGCATTCCTTCTCATGCAGAGCAATCTTTAGCTACCCTCAGTGCCTTCTGTTCCACACATAAGAATATTCCCCCTAAATCAGAGTCAAAGAGCTGGGTACTGTTCCTCTCATGTTATTCACACCAACTTTGCACATCTCTTCCCTGTATCCATGACATCTGGACCACATACTTCCTAAAATATAAGAGTTTCAAAAATTATCTATCTATCTATTTATCTATCTATCTATCTCTGTATCAAGCATTTAGCTGTTTCTTTTCTGTCACTTTAAAATGCATCTGCATGACAACATAAACTTGCACACCCTATTACTTTGTTTTATGAGCAGTCACAACAGTGTCTAGTACCTAAATGGCACACAACTGATAGCTTTTAAATAATTGAATACATTCATAAATAAGAAAATAATTTTGACAAAAAATAGCCCATGAGTTTGATTTTTAAGCCTCAGATAAAGACTGGAACAATATTTATAGACTTTCAAGTACGACAATTTTACAAAATATTAAGAAATCAAGTTTATATTTTATATATCACTTTTGTGAGATTTTACAACACTGTTATGTTACTAACTGTTGATATAAGACAAATTTCAGGAAAAGAGTAAGAATATTAGGTAATTCTTGAATTACATTCTTAAAACAGTTGTAGTGACCTCTCATTTGTATTTTAATAAATAAAATTTGCCTGAGGATCAGAAAAGTAAAGCAGTCACACTAGCCAGCCTTACAGACCAGGCAGCAATGACACACACCTTTAATCCCAGTAGCTATACTAGCTTGCCATAGAAACCAGGCAGTAGTGGTACATGCCCTTAATTCCAGAACTAAAGAGGATTATATAGTGGGAGGAGACAGTTCTCACTCAAAGTCTCATTCTGAGATTCCTGGAGGCAGGATCGCCATTTCAGACTGAGATAGAGGTAAAAGCCAGTGACTGACTGTCTTGCTTTTCTGATCTTCAAGTTGAACTCCAATTTCTATATCTGAGTTTTTAATTATTCGTGCTACAAACAGTCTTTTCATATATTCATACATGGTGAGAATTTAAATCATGGAATGCCTTACCAGTAATTCACAGTTACTTTTAGGAAAATGGTCTAGTCTATGGTTCTTTGTTCAGAAAATAATAAAGATTATTCCATCACAATGTTTTGCTAGAAAATCACAAAAATATTGAAAAAGTAAGGAGAAGTGCAAATGAGGCAGGATGCTGAAGAGGGATGCCAGGACATAACCGGTGAGAGCCTGCTCTGCTGTTCATCAGCCCCACTCTTGATGTAAGAGGGGAAAGCGTTAACAGCTGGAATTGCCTGTCAAGCCTCACCTCTACATTCCAAGAAGCTCCTCAGACTGACTTGGCTTCCCTCAGCCTCAGACATTGCCACAATGTATCCAAGGATGCCCTCTGACTGCAGTCGTCTCCATTTTCCTTCCTCCTCTCTATTTTATAAATTTTCTCTTTCCTTTTTTGTATCTTTCATCAGCCTAGGGATTAATGTCTTTGTCTATGAGATGTTTTCTCATTCAAAAGAACTTACCACGTTTCTTACTTTAAAAACTCATTGTTTTGATCTTATTAGTAGGAAATTTGAGACATTTAATGAACAAAAAAAATCTGGGCAGTAAGACAGCATAGTTAAAGATCTTAAGATAAAACCTGATGCCTTACTTATGGTTTCCTATCTGATTATTCTTGAAAAAATTAATGTCTTTGGGTTTTGAGCAAATTACTTTTAAAAAAATATATAGGAGAAAAAATGAGGAGAGGATGAATGAATGAATGAATGAATGAGTGACTGGATGAATGAATGAAACTGAGGTGTGAACTGCTTCTTGAATGCTGTGCTCTTTTTCTTTTCACAGCACCTTCTGCTCCTTCCTATTCACAGCATAAAGCAGTCTTGATTCTGACTGTTCTATGCCTTCTGCTGCTCATTGGACTGGGGGTCTTAGGAGGTTTGTGTATGTATTGCATCATTCTTTAAAAAGAAAATTTAAATTTAATGAAAATGTGATTGCATCATTTCTCCCTTTTTCCTATAATCACTCTCATGTTTTTGCCTGCTCCTTCTCAAATTCATAGCCTCTTAGTGTTTATTATTGTTACCCAGATATATAAATAAATACGTAAATGCAACCTGATGAGTTTGTGCAGTGCTGCATATATATTTATATGTATTTATAAATGTATGCATCTATTTAAATACTTTTGGGCTGATTTAGAATGCCAAGAGTTGTTGAACCAATGTTTATTCTGAGAATTAAGGCTTACACTCCAGAGGATCTTATAATGTACTTCACAGATGTACACTCTATCCCTTCCACTAACTCTTATAGAGAAGACTTTTTCTACCATTTTAATATTTTAGTGCTATTTTTAATGGAAAAAAAATCATCAAGCTTCTAAAGGTGAAAGAATAATTGAGAATTTAGAAGTTTTTAAAAATTATCTACTATTTTCTTCTCTCCTTCTGTCTTTAAAAAATCCTGGAGTTCATACAACTTTGGAGACAGAAATGATAAAATCAAATCAACTACAAAACATCAGGGAAGAACTTCAGGAAAATGTTTCCCTACAGCTGATGCACAATATAAACAGCTCCAAGAGAATCAGGAACCTTTCCACCATGCTGCAAAAGGCAGCCACCCAGCTGTGTCGTGAACTGTATGAAAAAGAACCAGGTAACCCTATACTGCTCTCAAAACTATTCCTTGGGAAACAAACTAAACCTTAGTGTCTTTTAAGAATCACTTTCTTAGCCGGGCAGTGATGGCACATGCCTAATACCAGTAGCACTAAGGAAGCAGAGGCAGGTGGATCTCTGTGAGTTCGAGGGCCCAGGACAGGCTCCAAACTACAGGGAAATTAATTGAAGGAATTAAATGAGTTGGTAAATGAGTCACTGATATTTCCCCCTAGTTAGGAGGAAAACATGAAAGTAGAAATAAGTAAACTGCTAATTTACAGGGTTCAACAGTTACATAATGACGCACACATACAGTATACTGTTTCTCTAATCTGCGGTTTATTACCCTTGTCCTGGGCACAAAGCTCAGGAGGTGGTAAGTAAGAAAGGGTGCCTCTTTGTTCATGACCTCATTCCTAAATTTCAATGTGTGCTGAAGGTGTAAAAGATCCTGGCAAAGAAATGAAGTCTCGGGTGATGCACCTAGCAGGGAAAGGAGTATTGCCTTCCAGCGTTTTTGTAGTTATTATGGCTAAACTATATTCCCGTGCTTTGAAAGTGCCTCTTCAATATTCTGGAAGTTGAAAGCTAGAGAGACACATTTGCTGGAGAAAACCGGTGTGGCTCTGTGAACCTGATTTTACTAGACAGTATTTGCTGTGAATTATTTTTAGAGTCAAAAGTGAGTTCAAAAAAAGAAAGAAAGAAACGAAAAGAAAAGAGAAAAGAAGGAAAAAGAAAAAAAAAACCTACCCAGGTTCCTAATGATGGACAATAAGTTTGAATCTGGCCAGGTACTACAACCTCTGTGTTTGCCCAAGTATTGTATCATGTTCCTAGGGTGATGTAAAGGAATGCAGATGACTTTCTCCTTGACCTAAAGAGAAGAAACACAGTAAATCTGATCAGCATCACAGACAGTAAAGGAATAGTAGTCAAGGGTATTCACACAAACCTATAAAACTCTGTCCTCCTTCTAGAACACAAATGCAAACCTTGTCCAAAGGGTTCACAATGGTATGAGGACAGTTGTTATTCCAATCTTTATAAGTATGAAACATGGAAAATGAGTGAAATGCTCTGTTCTGCTCGGAATGGCAGCCTGCTGAAGATTAAGAACAGGAGTGTGCTGGTAAGGTTCCATGTTTCTGTTCCCTCCAGAAGGAATCATTTCACGTCATGGAATGCAGGGTGAAGAGGGATATGTTGGGAAGACATGCTGTGATCCACTCATGACTGGGGATTGTTTTCCTGACGTGGGAAGGGGAGTGGGACCTGCACATTTATCTCAGGGAAATCACAGTCAAGCTAAAAGATACGGGCTTTAGCTTAATCAAAATCTAAGGAGTTACAGGATAGATGGGTAGGAACTCCCAGAATCCTCAATTCTATGTTATTTTCAAGTTGGAAGTATAGTAGCAGGTTTCTGTGTATGTCCTCAGAGTAGCTATCCAAAGACAAAAAGTGTGACCATCATGACTAAGGCTCACCACACCCATAAAAACCACACAAGATGATCTTCTTTATTGTTAATATATTATATTTTTTATTTACTAGGCAAAGAAGCCAGGTAAAGTTGAATTGGGTGATATTTGTTTAATTAAGGATACTGGGTTGACAGAGAGGAGGCAAATGTTAAGCAGACACATTGCACAGAGTTATTAGAGCTAATGAAAAGTTTGCTTATTTATTTGTTTCTGTCTAAATCAGTGGTTCTCAACCTCCCTAATGCTGCATCTCTTTAATATAATTCTTCATATTGTGGCAATTCTCAACCATAAAATTATTTCCGTTGTTACTTCAAAACTGCAATTTTGCTACTGCTATGAATTGTAATGCAAATATCTGAAATTTCTGATGGTCTTAGGTGACCCCTGTGTAAGAGTCATTTGATTTCAAAGGAGCAGTGACTCCCTACTGATCTAACTAATGTCTTTCTGTTTCACTAATTAGTAAAGAGTTCTGGTCTCTCACATCATAATCCTTTACTACTTTCTTTTTTTGAGATAAATCTCACCCAGTAGCCCTAGCTTATCTCAAACTCATAGGAATCCTACTGTCTCAGTCTCCCAAGTTCTGAAATTACCTGTGTGAGCTGCTGGTCCTATATTGTAGTCATTTTTCTTGGAGTAAAAATATATCCCCTAAGTGGTTCAGCTTCTTTACCATAAGAATCTTTGCCATCTTTTATAGGAGAAGGGAATTTGATGAACTATTCTGTCTCATTGACCTTTCTCAAGTAATCATTTATAATTATTTACTTTTAAGAAATGTCTGTCTTTAACAGAAAAGCAGATGTTACTTTGAGTAAAGTGTTCTGTGCTAATTTTGATTCTGTGGTTATTGCTCTTCTCTGGGTCTATTGCATTATACTTCTCTTTTCTGTGAAGTTCAGCTTGCCGTTATTAACCACCTCCTTTACCCCAGATAGAATATTCACTACTCAAATACTTAGACCTGGAAAATCCTACATGAAGGTGATTCAATGAATCAGCAGTCCTTTTGTCACCCATAGTGAAGGCAGAAGAGGTCGTAGAGACTTCAACCTACTGTTGCCAAGTTCTGACACAGAGAGTGAAAAGTTGAACCATTTTATTAGAAAGCAAAAGTAAACCAGCAGAAGGGAGCTGAGCTTCTCAAGAGAGAGTCTCATTCCTGGGCGTTTGGATGGCTTGTTTTACGAGAAGTTTTACTTGGAGAAATGAAGCACGATTATAAAAGCTCAGGGTCAGAAATTGGGGTTCAACCCGAAGATCTGAAAAGCAAAACAGCCAACCACTGGCTCTTACCTCGACCTTAGTCTGAAATGGCGATCCTGCCTCCAGGGATCTCGGAAGGAGACTGTGTTTTGAGAGCTGTTTTCTCCCATTTTATAATCCTCTCTAGGACTGGGATTAAAGGCGTGCACCACCGTCGTTAAAGGCATGCACCGCCCAGTTTCTTGTGTGGCTGCTGGGATTAAAGGTTTATGTCATTATGGCTTCTAAAATTAAAGGTGTGTGTTACCATAATCTGGTCTGTAAGGTTAACCAGTGGGACTGTTTAGCTTTCAAATCTTCAGGTAGTCTTTATTTATTAAAATACAGTTCAAATGACACTACAGAGAAAAGAGATTCTCGTGGGACTAGGAGGGGAGGAGATTCTGGAACGAACTAGGGTTGACCCTTTCTGTTTTTATGCAGGGCAGGTGGGGATGGTATGTTGTAGCATCAGATGCATAATGGAAGCTGCACTTTCTGCAAGGCTGATCAGACCATAATGATAAAGCAAAGGATCATCTGTAGTTACCAGGGTCATCCATGGTCCTAACTAGCTTGTGGTGGTGTTGGTTTTTGCTGTTTGAGCAGTTGCAGGATGATCTGTCACAACCTAGGTTTGTGATTATATCAGCCTCCAAATACTGGAGTTTCCTTCTCTTTCTTCCCTGTGTCTACATAGCAGGCCCAGCTTTCTTCCTGCTAATCAGGAAACTGTGCTATGAAAAGGGCTGACATGCTACACCAAAACTATAATGTCAAAACAGCAGTCTGCAGTATGTGATCCTGTGAGGCAGTGTACAGATATAAGAAACAGTTTATTAAACAGGTAATCTCTGTTTCTCTAGGAATTTATAAAATCTAAGAACTTACAAGATTATTGGCTGGGGTTGTCGCCCAGAACAGAGAGACCAAATTATTACGAGGAACTGAATGAGAACATGTTCCTCTCTGCAGGGTAAGTCTCTGTTCTTCTTGGATTTTTATGGTTAGACTTGAATGGACACATTTCTTAAGGAGCCTAGCAGAGGGCCTTTCACAGCAACTTCAGCTGACACCATGTCTTTAAAGGCAACTGCCCCTGCAGGTGTCTGTGATGTATTTGACTATGTAGAAAATTGTCACACATGTCTTGTTACTAGTTTGGCAAATCTCCAATAACCTATAGGAGTCAAATTATAGATTTCTTGAGGGTTATTAGTATTATGATCTGTTGGCCTGGTCTGTCACCTAGGTACCCTGTCTCTTTAAGAGACAAGCCCCACCAACTTCCAACCATCCCAATTTGCCTCCAGGCAAGCAGATCTCTGCCTTCTCCAGTCTGTGCACACTCTCTCTTTCTGTCTCTCTTCTGAAGGGGTAACTACTGTTTCTCCTTCTCCTCCTCCTCCTCCTCCTCCTCCTCCTCTTCCTCCTCCTCCTCTCTCTCTCTCTCTCTCTCTCTCTCTCTCTCTCTCTCTCTCACTCTCTCTCTCTTTCTAACATACAATACATTCAGTTGTGAGATCTAGTCCATCCACATAGCCATTTTGCAATTTCTGTTCTACTTTGGCCAATTCTTTTTCTGCTTCAGTTATTAGTTGCCTAGTATTGTTTAAATCTGAGTCACCTTGCAAAATTTGAAGCAAATTACTTAATTACTATAGTAAGGTGCAGCCACTTAATATTACCCAATAATTTTTGAAAATCATTGAGCATGAATTGACCTCTCCTAATCTTTACCCTTTGTAGCAGATTCTCTGTTTACTTAATTTAAATCTTAACTAAGAAATCTCCTTTTTGAAATTTTTCAGGAGCAATTTGTAATCCGATTGGGGCAAATTTTTTTGTACTACATTAAACTTTTTTAAAGTATCTGTATCAGAAGCAACAAATAAATTATCATGTTTATAATGTTAAATAATTAATCAAGGAAATTGTTTAGGGGCCATTTCGAGTGGTTGATGCACAAAATATTGACATAAAGTTGAACTGTTTTACAATCTGGCATTATTATTAATAGGCACTGTAAAAGCAAAAATTTCCCTACCTTCTTCTTATAAAGAAACAATCTTATAAGCCAATAGCTGTAATAGGCCAATCTTTAGGTAGTAAAGAAAGCAGAGAAATTTTGGACTGTAAGGATTCCATAGGTTGAATTACTTGTTTTACAATGCTCAAATCAGATAACATTCTCCATTTTCCAGATTTCTTTTTCATTACATATACAGATTTTCAATAACTAGTAGTTTCCTCAATGTCCTTAACATCTAACTGTTCTTTTACTATCTGTTCAAGAACCTGTAACTTTTTCTTAGTTAAGAGGTGGTGGTCCACCAATACAGGTTTATTACTTAGTCATTTTGAAGGCAGAGCAGTTGGGTTTCAAATTTGGATAGCTAATTCCTTTTTTCCCCTGTTGTTGAACAACCTGCATAGCCTGTGATTTTCCTTGATAATTTTTTTCTAATACCTTTCCTAGAAAGGTACCTCATTTTTAACATCATTGTTTGGGCTGTTTCTGAAATTGTAAGAATAAGATCTGAGCTCTCCATTGCAGCAGCAAACCCTTCCCCTGCAAACTCATGGCTGCATCAGTCACAAAAGGCTTTAATATTTCCATTTGTCTTTTAGGCCTTATACATTTAATCATTCTGCACTTTGTTTCATCTGAGATAATGTTCAAATGCCTAACAACTGAGTGGAAACTTCCTGTAAAGACCAGTTAGGATTCTAAGACTCGAGAAATTATATATACATAAGCTCCAGTGTCCACTAAACTTTCAAATTCAATGCCATTTACTTATAATCTTAGTTTTGGCCTCTCATCATTAAAAACAGTTTACAAAAATACTTTCTTCCCAGTGCTTAGAACATCTGCTGTTCTACATTTTGAGCTGTTTAACCTTTCAGAAATGGGAGTGATAACAATTGAGTAATTCTCTCTTCTGTCTCTATGTGTATAGTCCTTTTTTACATAGGCCATCTATAAAAGCATGAAAATAATCAATATAGGAATTAGAGAGATCATTTTAGGCAACAGTATTTTTACAAAATCTTAACAAGAGGATGCCTTTTTATAAATCCCAAGTGACACATTGATATAATTTGTCAATTATTAATAACATGGAAAAATTTACTTATTTTTTTTAGTAGAAAAATATTTTTTGTAGGCTATTTATTAGCAAGAGATTATTTCTATGAACTTTTGCCTTAGCAGCCATATTATTTAATAAGCTAACTACACTCTATTTCAGGTCTTACATTTTTATGGAATTTAACTGAAAGTTTCTAGAAAGCAACTTAAAGAACAGAACGAAATTCTCAATAATGACAAACAGACAAGAGCATTCCCAATAACATTGTTAAAAATCATGAATTTTGCTCTTCTTTACTACGAAAATTAAACATTCATTTAAGCATTAATCAGTTGAACAAGAGACGGTAACACCCTCCCTACAATGAATGACTAATACCTTTGGAAATTCAAACATCATTGGCTTTGTACTTTATGCTCTGACTGTAATTGTTTTTTCCAGAAGTTGGGCTTTTTTTAGCTTTTTATTTCTCCCATGAATGGACCATTGATTGATAGTGAGTTGTTCCCGCTATTAGAGAGAGAAACAAACAAACAAACAAACAGAAACATTTAAACCAAATTCAAGCAATCAAACAAACAAGAAAAATGTAAGTTCTGGGCCTGCTGTGATGGCTCACAACGATGCAGTTAAGCCCCGCCCATCATTCTTTGAAATTCACCTACCACTGCCCTGTGCTGGTGAACCCTGGGCTGAAAGAGCTGAAGGCAGCAAGCAGCAGCCAGAGAGCTCTGAGTTCCAGTTGTCAGAAATTTCTTTTATTGGAATAAGTCCCCCATCCCCCACACACACCTATTTTTCTTTTTCTGGGAAGAGGCTTTTTTCTTCCCTTTATGTTTTGTTTATGGGGCCTCTTTATTGTCTCATTTTTGAAAATTTAACTTGCTCCATCTTTGTGCTGCCTTGAGGGTGAACCTGACCAGGGTGGTAAGAGAGTGAAGAAAAGGCATGTACACATGATCACACAGGCAATCTGGGCTCTCTGGTGGAAAAGCCGAGGCACCTCAGAAGGCAGTGTGTTTATTATGTACTGTTGAATGGGGGCAGATGTTATTTCATACAGATAAACCAAGGAGGCAAGTTTACTTGATCTCAGTAGGAATGGTCTCTGAAGGGAACACTCTTTAGGCTACAAATATCTAGGGGGAGAAGACTATGGTGGGCATTTTCTATGCCATCAACAACTGTGCATGAACTAGGGGAAGGCTTTCCCATCCCTCTGAGCCTAACCCCAGGAGGATGAAGGCTTTGATATTTTACTATGGGTCTGAGGCCATAGTCCTCAACATGGCCAGGTCACATCAATAACACACTCCCACTTAAGCATTCACACACTCAGGGCTTCTTCTGTTCCCCAAAATGGCTCTTGAAGTTGTTTGATGACCATTATTAATTGACCCAAGAGTTGATGTTATATTTACCAAGGAAATAAGGTTTTTAATTTATGAATATGTATTTATGACCACTTATTTAATGTTACAAACTACTAGTCAGAATGGAGTATAAGAGGCATTGTTAGAAGGAAATGCCACATTAGAAATGGTGTAGGACTTAATGTTTCCTAAATTAGATTTATTCTAGCTATGGTCATTATTATTAAAACATTCGATGAAGACAATGCCAAAGTTTTGCTGCTGAGAAAGTTAAAGTAGAGACCTATGAAATGGTGTTATTGAAATTTTATTAGTCGTGAGAAGAAAGGCTAAGTTGGGAACTGAATGACAGAAAATATTCCAGATGTGGGAAGCTGAGAAAATAGGGTTTCACATCACTTATATGCACTCCAATCTTCAGCCCAAATTTGACTTAGACAATAGACAAAAGAAATAATCATTTTATGGTGAAAATGCTCTTATGTGGGTCTAACCAAAATATAACTTGCGAAGTGAATTTACTTTTTTTCTTACAGATTTGAAAGAAACAATTATGACTTAAGTAATATGTACTGTAGATATATAGATAGAAGTTATGTTTATTATTCATCCTGTGCTAAAAAAAATACGTCATGTGTGTGGAGACAGCCAGCACTGTACAGGTGGACAGTGTATTGAATGACCTTCCAGAGGGAAGAAAATAGCTACTGCATTTGTGGACTCCAGCTTCTTTCCTGCTCTGATGGTTTGAAAGAGGATGGCCCCCATGGGTTCATATTTTGAATACGTGGGCCCCAGTTGGTGCAACTGTTTGCGAAGGAAGAGAAGGTGTGGCCTTGGTGGAGGTGATACTTCACTGATAGCGTATTTTGATTATTCCAAAGTCCACCTCACTTCCAGTTAATTCTCTGTTTTGTGTTAACTGAGATATGATCTTTTAACTACCTGCCTACTGCCATGCTCACCATCATAATTGTTAAAGACTATAACCCTCCACAACCATGAGTTCCAAATTAAACCATTTTATAAGTTGATTGGTCATGGTGTTTTGTCACAGAAGTTGAGGAGTAGGTAAGACACAGAGGAAGGTTAGGCAGTGAACATCTCCTGCTGTTGTCTGAGGTTTCTGTCCTGCTCCATTCCCACAATCGTTAAGTCCCAAAGAAATCACACAGAGGTCTACATTAGTTATAAACTGATTGGCCCATTAGCTCAGGCTTTTTATTAACACTTATAACTTATATTAGCCCATTATTCTTGTCTATGCTAGTCATGTGGCTCAGTACCTTATTCAGCAAGACAGTCACATCTTGCTTCTTCTGTGGCTGAGCCAGGACTGTGGAAAGAGCTTCCCTCATCCCAGAATTCTCTTGTTCTCATTGACCTGCCTCTACTTCCTGTCTGATTGTCTGGCCTATAATTCCTGTCTGGCTACTTGAAGACGCAGTGCGATCGGTAATTAAAGGTCTGCCAGACTAGCTTACAAAAGATACAGCTTTAATAAAACAGAAGGAAAAACTTACACCAGAATCCCAACTGTCTGGAATGCTGGATCCAGGCCAGAGAGAGAGGGCGGGGAAGTGCACCTGCCAGGTTTATAGGTAAACTTTTGCCTTAGGGCAACATGCCCCACAGACAGAATGTGATTGGCTGAACTCCCCTATCATCTCCCCTTTTTTTCTGAAATAAGACAGAACAAAACCAAATACCATTATATACAATAGAAACAAATAATAAATATAAAATTACAAATAACAAACAATATTAAGCAAGAAATATATAACAAAAGTTTTACTAAACATTCTATTTCAAGGAGTCTAAATAATGTAGGGGTAACTACAGCTATCTAATCTTCAACTCCATCAAAGATCTGAGAAGGGAAATAATTTTACTCAAGCAGCCCGGAAGTACAAGCGGGAAACTTCTGAAATGTGCAACAAATGGAAGAGACAACTAAATACCTGGGCAATCACACAAAGTCTCATTTGCAATGTTGAGTCAACCAACTTTGAACTGACATGTCATTTTTCAAAGGCAAGAAACCTTTTAGGACTCTCTCACCCTGTCTTGGCAAGATAAGACAATCCTGCTTTTATGCATTTATGGATATTCTGTAATTCTGTCAGTGGTCGAGGTATGGGCTTTTTCTTTGCCCAAAGGACAGTTCTGCCAGGAAGAAGACACGCTCCAAGTGGAGTGCTTTTGGTGCTCAACATTCTCTCAGGAGTAGAGCAGTGATGACAGGAGCGATTGTGTCTCACTACTATAGAACTATGAGTGAGATTAAAGGCCATTTTCTACAGCTCTTCAAAGAGGTTGAAGATTATACTATCTATACTAAATATGATCTCTATGCACCTAAATAACTTGATTAGCCTAAATATAAATATAACAGACATATATGACTATTGATTTCTATCTACCTAACTTGAAGACTAAGAGAATAAACAACTGTGCAATGAATGAGGACAATGACCTCCAAATGTAACCAATGTATATCATTACATAAATATCTTAATCAGAGGTAGAAATGTAAATATATGTGTGTGTGTGTGTGTGTATATATATATATCAATACAAATAGAGGTAGAAGCATACTCACATACAATATATAGAGGTAGCAGCATACTCACATACAAGATTCAATATATCAATGTACAAGAATCAACACCAATACAATTTTCTAAAAACAATGACTCACAAATACCGAAAAATTATTATCCCATCACCAATCAATCCCCCCCCTTTTTTTCAAAATTAATGATAAACACCCCTGAGCTTATAAAATACCTCCCATATCCCCTCATCCCTATATCAATTATAACCAACTCCTAAATGATGTCCCTAAACTTGAGGGCAAATTCTACTGGGAGAGGGTACGTCGTCCTCTAAAATTGCTTCCAGCTGTCATGGGGGCGACATTTTTCTTAAGGAGTCCTGTGAAAATAATTGACTGTAAAATTCCAATATTAACATTTGGTGTGAGAAAGTTGCAAATAGTCTCTGAGTAGTTTGAGGAGGTCTGGCCAGAGTCTTGTCAAAATTTGTGCACCATTCAGAACTGTCTTGTGTAGCTGGTACCAAAAAACAGGTCTAAAAGTAGTGCTATCAGCCTTATGACGTCATAGTAACCAGGTGGAGTTGATGTTGTGGGGCCCCATCTTCATCTTAGAAGTTTTAAAGATTACTGCAGGAAAATTTATTGTTTGTTATGGGAAAGTTAAACATTATCTATGAAGACATATACAGATATATATATATATATATAATAAAGACAGAAACAGATGTGGAGAAAGGCAAGGAAAATTTATTAATTGTAATTATTCTGTCCCATATCTTGGCTCTTGACATAAGGCAGAAACTCTGGGATATCTCTTATCAACAGGCTTGGAAATGAAGAGGGACTGAGCCATAGTACAACTCCAAAACCAGCTCTACATATTTATAAGTAAATGTACATTAGTACCTATTAAAAAAAACAGTAATACTTACCTAAACTATTTGGATTCATTGTTGATCCTCTTTGGGTCGTAGATGATTTCTATCCATCAGTATTCAAATATCCAGGGTCCCTTGAATCCTTTGAAGATGAGTGTTTTCCTGTGGAGATAAGAAGAGAACCCTGCCTCCAACCTATATACTTCTCTTACCTTTGGTGTGATTATTATCCTTGTAAATGAGTTGTTATTTATATCTTCCAAGAGGCTTCTTCTCTTCAAACCAAACCTTTATTAATTTTGATGGTATCCACAATTTTTCTTCTTCTGTGGAGGCAAGAACAAAATCCCTTCCCCAATGCAGTACATCTCCTGGCTTCCACTGTGAGGTCAGCACATCCTTGAAATAAATTGGTTGATTTAATTCAGCAGACTTTTCCATTATCCAGTGTCTTTCTACAGCCATTGTCCCCTTCTCATTAGCTCTGAGAAAATTCAAGGTTAATAAAGCATTATGTAACCTATTCCTGGGGGTATTTTCCACCCCTTTCTGTCTGTTCAACATATATTTTATAATTCGATTTGATCTTTCTATAACTGCTTGACCTGTAGGATTGTATGGTATACCTGTAACATGCTTAATATTATAATAAGCAAAAAACCATTTCATTTTCCTAAAAACATAAGCTGGACCATTATTCATCTTTATTTGTGTAGGTATACCCATGATGGCCATAATTTCCAATAAATGAGTGATTACTGAATCAGCTTTTTCTGAGCTTAAAGCAGTTGCCCATTGGAAACCTGAATACATGTCAATGGTGTGACGTACATATTTTAATTTGCCAAATTCTGCAAAGTGGAACATATCCATCTGCCAAATTTCATTCCTTTGAATACCTTTTATATTAGTCCCTGCAGGCAGTGGTGTTTGGTTATAAAAAGAGCAAGTAGAGCATTTCTTTACAATCTCCTTAGCTTGTTGCCATGTAATAGAAAACTCTTTTTTCAAGCCTTTGCTATTGACATGATGTTTTTTATGAAATTCAGATGCCTGCAGCACACTACCAATCAATAATTGATCAATATCTTCATTACCTTGTGCTAGAGGACCTGGCAGACCCGTTTGGGATTGGATGTGTGTTATATACATAGGCCAAAGCCTGTTCCTGATCATGTCTTGTACCTGGATAAACAATGAGGTCAGTTCTATATCATCAGGGATATATTCAACAGTTTCAATATGCAAGGTAACTCTTTCTGCATATTGTGAGTCAGTAATTATATTAAGAGATTCTCTAAAATTCCTAAGCACCATAAGAATGACATATAATTCTGCCTTCTGGACAGAATCATGAGGACTTTGCTCTACTTTACTCAATTCTTCTGAATTATAACCTTCTTTCCCTGATTTATTAGCATCAGTATAAAATGTACGGGCTCCGGTTATTGGAGCATCATGGATGATTCGAGGAAAGATCCAAGAAGTTCTCCTCATAAAGTTAAGTCTCTTGCTTTTTGGATAATTGCTATTAATTTCTCCCAGAAAATAAGCACCAGCTCTTTGCCATGGTTCATTGTCTTCCCACAACTTTTTTTTAATCTCATCAGCAGTGAAAGGCACTAGAATTTCTGCTGGGTCTATACCTGCTAATTGACGAAGTCTCAATTTTCCTTTTATAATCACTTAGAGAATTTTTACACGTAAGTTTTTAATTTTTTACTTGGTTTGTGTGGCAAAAAGATCCATTCCAAGATAATATCATCTCTTTGCATCAAGATTCCTGTAGGAGAAATTCTGGAAGGCAATATAACAAGAATACAACTAAGCTTTGGATTTACCCTGTCCACATGTGCCTCCTGTAATTTTTCTTCAATCATTGTCAGTGCTTTTTCTGCTTCAGCTGTTAATTCTCTGGGACTGTTCAAGTTTTTATCACCACCCAAGGTCTTGTTTAAATGAATTATTAGATCAGGTGTTATCCCAACAGCCGGTCATAGGCTGGAGATGTCTCCTAATAATCTTTGAAAGTCATTAAGAGTTCGTAACCGGTCTCTCCTGATTTGTGCCTGTTGTGCCTTAATTCTTTGTAGACATATTTTATAACCTAAATAATTAACAGAATCTCCTCTCAGAATTTTTTCAGGAGCAATTTGCAATCCCCATGTAGGTAATACTATTTTTACTTCTTCAAACAGCCTTTCTAAGGTATCTTTGTTTTGATCAGATATCACAACATCGTCCATATAGTGGTAAATTATCGACTTGGGAAATTATTTGCATATAATTTTTAATACTTGGCTTACAAAATATTGGCACAGGGTGGGAGTTTTAACATTCCCTGTGGGAGGACTGTCCACTGGTACCTTCTTGTAGGCTGAGAGTTATTATAAGTAGGCACTGTGAAGGCAAACTTTTCTCTATCTTTTTCTTGTAATGGTATAGTGAAGAAACAATCTTTCAGATCAATAACTATAAGAGGCCATCCCTTTGGTATCAGGGAAGACAGAGGAATTCGAGATTGCAGAAGGCCCATAGGTTGAATAACCTTGTTGATAGCTCTAAGATCTGTCACCATTCTCCATTTACCAGATTT